CTGGGTGCTAGACGGACATCTTGCTTTCGGACAAAATTGGTGCTAGACTGGCAAACTTGGTGCTACACAGACATACTGGTGCTAGACTGACATATTGGTGTTACATTGGCTTATTGGTGATAGACGGTCATCTCGGTGCTTCACGCAAAACTTGGTGCTACATGGACATCTTACGTTCGAATATACTTAGTGCTAGACTGACAAACTTGGTGCTAGAGTGACAAACTTGGTGCTAGAGTGACAAACTTGGTGCTACAAGGGCATCTTACATTCTGATAAACTTGGTGCTTAATGGGCATCTTACTGTTAGATTGACATTTTTGAAGATAAACGGTCATCTTGGTGCTACACGGACATCTAGGTGATAGACGGGCATCTTAGTGTTAGACAGATACGAAAGCTAATATGTTGCTTGACAGAGGGATTATTTGTTGCTACTCGCTATTTAGACCCACTCTCACACACAAATACACACATGATTCTGAAGACAAAATCATTCCATCCGGGGTTTTTTTTTAAATACCCCTCTTATTTCCCCCACCCCTAGTCAAGACGCCGCATAGCTTTGTGATGCCAGAGCCATGAATGCCATCCCCGTGGAACTCCGAGTGAAGGAATCATGCCGTGTCCAACTTACGACGTGGGGATGGGTAGTAAAAGTTTGGCATCTTTAAATCCTGGGACGGGGGATTCTACTAGGGCTACCGAGGGAGGAAAACGGGGCCAGAGATTGTTCCAGACATAACTCTTGTCACCTTTACCTCCCCTGTTTCTCAAGTTACCGCTGGGTCACAATGTGTGGTCTGGGAGAGTTACTCCGTTTTTTCTTCCCATTTTTTTTTCTTTCTGATGATAACGGGATTTTAATTTCAGAACGGTGCTGTTGTGTTTTAGAGAACAATGGAGAGATTCACTAATTGTTAAACTCTAGCACGGCCGTGCTGGGTAAAGAGAATCGATTGTTAGGTGACCATCTGTGTGAGAAGGGCTCATCTGTTTGATTGTATTTGGTAGGATTGTTTTGTTGGGAGATTATAAGAAAGTAAACACCGTTTGAAAAAATTACGTCATTTTTTTTAAAATAAATACTATGCCAACTTAAGATCAAACTGTGATCAGTGTTCGCTTTATTGTTTTACGGCATCTACAAAAGATGACCCAATGTTTTTAATAATGGACCAAGTATGTTCAGTTACAATGCTTAATATCTGATAGTTAGAATAATAAGAATTACTATTGTTACAATTTTCAAATCTTATTTTTAATTGTGCTTTGTCGGGTGTTCAAAAACAATAAAATAAACATATAATAAAAGACTAATGTAGATATACATTTCAGACGTTGATTATGTCACTATTTATTTATTCAGATAATTCGGGTCGTTAGGAAATAAATAATACTGATGTATGAAAGGTGACTAAGTTAATTGCCACCGGCCATTTTAATTTAATTACCCCGGGTGTCTACACTACTGCTATATTAAATGTAGTGAAGTGATCAACGTTCCCTCCTCAAGGGGAAAAAGCTAGTGTGCAACGTGTGTATTTTCTGTGTGCGGTGTTCAAAAAGTCTTATATTAGGATATTATATGTAAATATTTTACAAAATAACTACGCGGCAGGTTCAAAAGTACTGGGCAACCGCGCGGCTTCGAGGGAACATTGAACATGATAATAAGAGAGTCGTTTTTTTTTTAATTAAATTGTACGACTCATCATTTCGGAGACGGAACTTTTCTGTGATCTTCATCTCAGCGAGACCAGAATTGTTAAAGCTGTGGTTAAATTCATGAACATTGAACTTCTTTAATACAGCTGTCGATCTACCAAAGTCTCGGAAATTAAAATTAGGTAAACACGAATTGCCTCTTATAAAAAATAAACACACGAAAATCGGAACAGTATTAATTGATGATAGGCCTACTTGCGAAAAAAAAACCTGCGTTTACTCAACTTCTGATAATCTTTTTAATTATTCAATTTTACCATTCAATTTGTTGTTTTATTTTAAGATATATTTTTACTAGCACATTTTCAATTGCTGATCATTAAAAGTAAATTAAATCAAACTAATTAATTTCATGTTGGAAAATAGTTTATCAATTCATAAAAATTATACATTACTAATTAAGATGTCAGATCTCAGCTAATTACAAGTATAAAATATGCTTCAAAGTTACCCACGTCAAACAGTTCGATAAACATATTACTTGCAAGAAGTATATTATGATATAAATATAAGAAATAATAAGTTAATGTTTCTTGTACTTTAAGTATCTGTCTAATAATGCAATGCATCAACAAATAGACGTATTGTATACATGATTACTATAATAAATAGATACAAAAATTAATAGATAACACATCTATATATATATATATATATATATATATATATATATATATATATATATATATATATATGTATATATGTATATATGTATATATGTATATATATATAGGCCTATATATTTTATTTTTTTTTTTGCTTATATGAATATGCTTGTAACTTATTTATAAAACTACCAAGAGCGGTTATGAAAAACACTGATGATGGGTAGTGTGTAGTGTGTAGTGTGCTATCGTCTGCCGTCTCCAGTCCCAGAAGGAGGCAGGCAGTAGCCGCCATATTAACAGCTGGAGGAATTTCCAGAATTTTTATACCGTCACAACTGTCACTCACCAGTTTGTGGTGGAGTGGAGTGGCGTGCAGAGAAATTGTGAGCGACCCTGAGGGCTAGCGTGTGGGTAGCTGAGGTAGGGCCATAAATCAGGGTTAGAAGAGGTAGACTAATAAATTAGTTTAGTAGGAGGACTAATAAATTTAGTCTACTTATATTTCGTATATACGTTACATTTTGTCTACATACATAAAAATCACTATTAATATACAAAATGAATCCCAAAGACTTGAAATGCAAACTGGAATCTTTTTGTTTTATGAAGTTCTTGTAAAGCTGCATACAACCTCTCTGGTTGATATGGTTGTGCAGAGATAGTTTGATAAGGTTTCAAAATATTTTATTGAATACAACTGAATATAAATTTACCTCTTGGGTAACTCAGTAATACAATCATAGTCTCGTTCACACGTTTAGCTATCGTAATGCTCCTTGTCCAATGTTCTGTTTTATTCGTAAGTAAATACGTTTAGAGATGTTCTCATTATGTTAGTGAGTTTGTAGCCATAATTTTAGTCCCGTCAATAATTGTATAGCGAAATAAGACAGGAAAAATAGCAATTATATATATATATATATATATATATATATATATATATATATATATATATATATATATATATATATATATATATATATATATAATCTAAACAAAACAAATCAGGACTTCTTGTGTTTAAATTTAGGATCTTTTTTTTAAAGATGCAATTGTTGTGTGCCATTGAATTAACATAATCCAAATATGAAAATCCATTTGGAATTATTTAAGTTATTGTATTAAAGTTAATTATTAATAACAATTATTTTTTTGTGTTAACATTAATTGAGTGTACAATTTGTGCTTGCTAATCTTCCGCATTTAATAACTGCGGTGGCCACAGCCTTCAATATTAGTATAATAAAGTTGATGCTATTTAGTGACTAGATTATATAATCTTTTTAGGTGAATTAAAAAATTTTGCATAAAATAAACTCCCGAAATTTTTTATTCATCTTATATTCAATTTTACAACGAAAATCGTATTATAATACGTTGGATTATTAAGCGTATTATTAGTCATTTGGGTTAGGAAATTAACCAACTTTAAAAATCAATTTTTCTATCGCTGCTAAATATATATAAATTTAAATTCCTGATGGAATTTTGAAAATTTCGAGTGTATTCATTAAATCAAATTCTTTAAAAAATCTATTAAATATTGGTTTTGGGAAGGACTATTGAACAGGTCAGCAATAATGAGTAATATAAAGCTTGATTCCTAGGTAAAACTATCCCGGGCCCAATAGACTAGTATCACAAGGGCTATATATATCTTACATAGATATAATTCAGAACATTCAGTTTCAAAGAGTTATTGGGTTTGTCCGAACAGCGTCGATTTGGTCTATTGATTTTATTTAAAATGGTCATTATCTTAAATTAATGGATTTTTACTTTCTCGTATATACGAAGTATAGAGAAAGTCTTGTAATCGTGCAAAAAAAAAAAATCGAGATTTTTGCAAATCTCGACGTTTTGCATCTCACTGATACGGAAAAACATAATTTTGCAATCTTGTCCGTATGTCTGTGTGTCTGTGTGTGTGTCTGTGTGTGTGTGTGTCCGTGTGTAAACACGATAACTTGAGTACCGTTACAGCTAGGTTGATGAAATTTCATATATAAGTATTTTATCAAAATCGTAGATCCGTATCAACTTTTGAGCGATTTCCGATAACCGGAAGTGGTACTTTTCCTACTTTGAATTTTTCAAAAGCCTATAACTTGAGTACTATTTCAGATAGATAAATGAAATTTCATACGTAAGTAAAAGATCTAATTCTCTACCTTCTATTAAATTTTGAGTCATTTCCGTTGACTGGAAGTAGTACTTTACGCTACTTCCGATTTCTCAAAAAACTAATGTAAATTTTAAAAGTAATAATAATATTGCGCACTATTATGCGCTTTTTTATTTCGCGTTCACTTGGTGTGCAATTAATTTGTCTACGAGATTTTATTCTATTTTTAAAACTTTAAGTATTTAAAATGGATTAAAAATCATGTCTATAGCCCGAGTTCCCATCCCCTGTTATTTTATATAAGAATATTCGAGAAAGTTTAGGGGAGATCACTCCCGGTTTATTTAATCAAAGTAGTTTAGTTGAAAATGATGCTGCGGTGAATTGGTACAGACTATTTAATGATTTCAATTAGGCTATGCAGTTACAAACAATAGTTATATGAAACTGGACCGTTAACGTTAAACATAAACAACGTAAAAGTTTGAAAACATTGACAAAACAAACAACAACAAAATATCACATAGCCGTGAACTCACCGATTCTCGCTTCCTTTTGTCGTCCTGTCGATCGTGTAAACTCCTGCCACACGTCACAGCCGGCGTGACGATTCCGTCACTTTTGTGACAGTTCACGTTGACCGCGGGGGCGTTGGGGTGCGTGACAGCCGCCACGATCGCCGGGTTGGCGGCCACTTTCTTGGTCAGTTCCGCTTTGAAGCCCGTTCTAGAAAGTTCCGGGTCGTCTTTGGCGAGGATGTCCATCAGGTAGGATATGTAGCTGGTGGCGAGGCGTAGTGTTTTGATCTTAGAGAGTTTGGTGTCCGAGGGTACGTTGGGTATACACCCACGGAGCTGTGCGAAGGCGTTGTTGATGCTGAGAGTCCGTCTCCGCTCTTTTTTGTTGGCGGTCACTCTACGCTTGATGCATCGTACGGGAACTCCGTTCTCGTACTGAATGAACGACTGGTAATGCGTACCGCCTGGTGAGTTGGCGCCCGGCGCCCCGAAGCTGTGGTAGCCGTCCGGTATATGCCCGGACACCGTGGATAGCTCCGGCGGTGGGGTCAGCATCCAGTTGGGGAAGTACCCCCCGGTCGTGACGACGGCGGCCGACTCGGCGTGGTCCGGGTAGCGGGGCATCTGGTGGGGGTAGGCGGAGGCGTAGAAATCGTGCGGGGCGGCCGGGGACGGCATGCTCCCGGCGCCGGTCCCGACTCCGTTGTTCGGAAGCGGATGATGAGGGTGGTGGTAGTGGTGCGAGTGGTGATGCTGCGGGTGGTGGGGGTAGCTCTGGGGGTAGCCTCCGACCGTCAGACTCATGGCTGGAGAAGAAGTTTTTAGACTCGCACTGCGACTAAACACACACGGGGCCGGGGTGCCAGCAGCGTCGGTGTGCAGAGTCAGCTAGACTCGAGATGTGCACATTGAATGTGGAGTCACGGGAAATGTGGAGTCACGGAAAGGTGGAGTCAGTTGATGATACTTCTATTTCTAATTGTTGTATTGTCTGCTGGTGAGATTGTCACTACTAGAGCCTGTATATCATATTGAAAATTTTAAAAATGTTTATCGAAATTATATTTTTTACATAAAGCAATATATATATATATATATATATATATATATATATATATATATATATATATATATATATATATATATATATATATATATATATACATATATATATATATATATATATATATATATATATATATATATATATATATATATATATATATATATATATCAGCAATACAATCACAATATACGCAGGATATGGACTAAACCAAGTGTTAGGGTAACGATACCGTAACGAAAAAAAAAATAAGGTGCTCGGTCCTTAAAATAAATAGAAATCTTAAAAGTTAGATTTCATAAATGTACCAAATAGAAATCTTAACTATAAATTTATAAATGTACCAAATAGAAAACTTTAAATGTATAGTAAAAAGGAATTTAAGTAGAAATCTTAAGCTCTAAATTTATAAATATACCAAAAGTAAATTTATAAATATATTAAATAGAAACTAAAAATGTATCAAATAGAATTCTTAAATTTATAAATGTACCAAATAAAAAAATCTTAAATTCATAAATATATTAAATAAAAATGTTAAATTATAAATGTATCAAATAAAAATCTTAAATTTATAAAAATATTAAAAATACAAATTTGTAAATGTACCAAATAAAAAAACTCGAATTTAGATACGTGCCAAATAGAAATCATAAATTTATAAATGTACCAAACAGAAACACTGAATGTATAAGTGTACCGAAGAAACAAAACAATGTTTATTTTGAATCCGTTAAAGTATATTCAAGCTAGGATTTTGATAACTAAAATAACTTGAATAAAACTTCCCACTATCCACCCACCATCCCGCTCTGTCCCCAGTGACGCCAATAAATAAAACCAACCGTCTGGTCATTTCAGCCCGCCCAGACGTGCACCTGCGGTGTCACCAATGACAACACGGAGACGCACGATACCGGTCAGCGCGTGCAGACAGTTGTGACACGTATTTACCAGCCGTGGGAACAAAATGGCGCCGGGTCTTCAAAATAATAACATTGTTTCTGCGACTCTTCCCTATTTTCAAAATTTCCACCAAGGTGATTGGGATTTTCACTTACATATAAGTAGGCCTATAGACCTATAGATTACTATTGAGATTCTTAATTTTAAAAATACATCAACGTTGAATGCGTATTATCGAAATGTAAGTGCTACTCGCCCTACTTTCAAAATGCCTATTACGGAAATGGGACTACAAATGTTACAATTAAATTTATATTAAAAATCGACCCCAAGTTGAATGTGTAAGTATCTATATAAGAATAGAAATGTATTGAAGTCGTCATAAGTCAGATATTGCCGACATTTGAGTTAACACTATACCAGTAATAATAGTGTTATTGAAATTACATTGTTGGGATGGGCATGTACAGTTGCTCATATTTTTAAATAAATATTCAATATTTAAATCACTTATCTTTTTGTTACAGTTCTAGATCTAGTAATGTTTTATGTTTAATAGTATTTTAATGTTGAAATTCAGGGGAGGCTTGATGAATTCTACGTAATTATAAAAGATTTATTTCTTGATGCAGAGATATATTATTTATGGGCGATTGGTTATCATACAGTTAGCAAACTGTGTTTAAAACATCAAAATTTAGATTATTCTAGTGAACTAAAATCAAAAGTATTAAAATTCCCAAATACAGTTATTGTAATGCTAAAGGTAGGCCAATGACTGATAACATGATTTATGAATAAAAAAAGTAATGAATTATTATTTAATACTTCAGCCCTGTTGTTTAGTATATACAGTATTATAGACAATATAGATCTAGATCTAGATCTAGGTCTAGCTAGTATAGCTGAAATAGAGAGTTACCCTTAGTTATAAGTAATACATTATATTGATTCTAGCCCTAAACCTAACTCTTGAGTTATTGGCGGAACAGGCTATTTAGAAGAGGGTACGGCTAATTAATAAGAGTGCTATTAGATAAAACGGCAACAAGTTTATAAATTGTTTTTCAAATTAGGGCTAGACGGATAAGTGATTGTTTTGTTTAAATAAGTTTTATTTTTAGAGTTGGTTCATAAACACAATACGTTAACGTTGTTTGATATAAGGATCCTAAAAATTAATTATTGTGTAGACTAGAGTTAGGCTAAACATTAATTAATTTAAAAAATTAACTATAACTTACTCAATGAAATTCCGTTAATTCTCACTTGAAGTACTATTAGAACCTAGTACTTTCTGGGTGTTGAGTAGATGAACTAAGGATCTCAAGTACAGTCATGCTTTAAGTAGCTCTACTTACAATCTCCGCCGAAACCAGTCAAGCAGAAAATTAAGATCGCCCTCTCGTGATCGGCGAGTGTGAAATGAACACTGACAGACCTAGCAGACGACCGCTTCTACTTTTTCACTGTCTCGAAATGTTCATGAAAGTCGAAACCCGCGCGGGGAGCTTGTTTCTTAGCACGCGCCCCGGCTCTGACGTCACGTGTCGTCTGCCCAGCTTCCCGCCTCTTCCGAGAACCATTCGCTGCTTGCACTTGCATTTCCCCCCGGGGGTGGTGCGTGGCCACGCCCCTATCGTATTCCGCCTCCCGCCCACAATCTGTTGGGGTGTCGGCGAGCAGTTAACGAGACACACGACTTGAGACGGCTATTACGGTGCGTGAGGAAGACGGTGACGCTGGATAACGGCTGACAGACGTCCGGTGACCACTGGAAGAGCCAGGAATTTTAGTTTGGAATTTTCCCATCGCGCTTTAACAAGACTTGCGTCTTGTTTTCTTGGGTCTTGTCGGTTAGACGTACCCATGCATATGTATAGCGGGATCATGTAGAAAGAGACACGGGGTTTGGTTTTGGCGCTATGATTTTGTCTTTCTTTCAGGCATCCTTACAGTAGTGGGGGGGGGGGGGGGGGGCACTCCCTGGAGCAAGTCTACTACCCCGCCCTAGGACGATGTTGAAAATAGTATATTGATTATATACAAAATATATACTTAAGCCAATATTTGCCCCGCCCCCTTTCCCGAATTAATCTCAGAAAGAAACCCTGCTATTATTGAGTGTTAACGTTAGATTTTTGTTTGGTGTACACTGTAGTATCATGGGAGGTAAATAGGTACGTTACATCGACATATACAGAGAATAACGTATTCGAACTATAGAAGATCCATTTTCAATGGTCTTTTTTATTGACATCTTATTTACCAGACTTTAGGGTACTAATGCTTATGGTAATACAACAAAAAAAAAACGATCATAGAAGCTGGTAATTAGTAGTCATTATGAGAAGTGTCGCCTACTCGTTTAACTAGAGAAAACCAGTACCGGAATGTTTAATTACAGAGTCAATTATATTAGCCGGCTGACAATTTAGCTTCTATCGCTTTAGAAATTAGACCTCGCTATAGCTGGTCCCAAATGAGACCAGATATTTTACAAGTGGCGTTGATAGGGGGGCGGCTACCCTGGGCGCCGTGATAGGGGGCGGCTACCCTGGGCGCCGTGATAGGGGGCGGTTACCCTGGGCGCCGTGATAGGGGGGCGGTTACCCTGGGCGCCGTTAGCAGAGTTTCTTCCAGGCGCCTCCCCCCCCCCCCCCCCCCCGAAATTTTTTTACAGCCCCCCCCCCCCCCCCCCGAACGAAATGAAATGTATATAATTTATATAGAAAATATATACGTTTAACAGTGTCCGCCCCCCCCTCCCCCTGAAGAAAGCCAACCCCTTCCCAAAAATTTCAAGTGCCCCCCCCCCCCCCCCCCGGAGAAAAAAGTCTGGAAGAAACACTGGCCGTTAGCGTCCTATGCGGTAGACAAAAATTAAAAAGCTCATTTTGAGTTGCGTCACTAAATTATGGTCTCTATTGCTTAAGCCACCTTTGACACCAGGTACAGCTCCTGGCCACTGTACAACTTGACTGCAGCAACAGTTTCAACTTCCCGTGTCTTTGATATATAACTTACGATCCTACTATATAACGTGCTAAATTCAAAACTATTTCAAGAGTTTAGACATTTATTTAAAAAACTGGACCATACAAGTTTACAGGCTTTCGTGCTCCGGGGTGGTGGTGGCAGTGACCCTCCCCAAAAGATGCTTGAAAGAAATTGGTGTTTCTTTCAGACTTTCTGGGGTAAAATTGGTGAAAGAACATATTTTCTATATACATTTGATTTCGTTTGGGGGGGGGAGGGGGAGTGACGTGCTTCAAGGGAAGGTGTGTACCCGAATATATGCCTGAACGAAACACTCAAAGAAAGTCTGCTCCATATTCCAATATATTATCGTCTATCATATCCCTACCTCATTGTATCAGCGGTACCCATGGTGGGAAGGGGGAATAGGACGCAGAAATTTCCAGGGGTGCCGGGTGGGGTCGCCTTTGTATCTGGCTGACTCTAGTGATCCCCCCACTCTACTGCACCACAGTCAACACACAACGTCCGTCACCAAATGTAAACATCTTTGTGTTCTTCGTCATTTGTATCACTATCCCTCTACACCTAGTTCTATACACACATAAATATACACACATACACACACATAACATCTTTGTACTCTTTGTCATTTGTATCATTGCCCCTCTACACCCAACTCCACACACATACATACAGACACATACACACTCACACACACATACACACACATCACATCTTTGTGTTCTTCGTCATTTGTATCACTGCCGCTCTACACCCAACTCCACACACACATATACACACATACACACATACACACATACACACACACATCACATCTTTGTGTTCTTCGTTATTTGTATCATTGCCCATCTACACCCAATTCC